GATTTAGAACGAGGATATAAATGAGAAAGACCAACCTATATTATCAAAGAAAAAATTAAAAATAAATAAAATAATAATATTTGAAAACAAACTCTTTGATTAATTTGTGAACGTAAATCATTTGATGTATTTTTATTTGTCCCATTATGATCAGGATGAATTGGACTATTAGGTGAATGTGCAAATGGTGGTTTATTATTTCCAAATGAATTAAATGATGAAACACGACTTTGTCTTGCACTTAGACGTGAAGAATTTCTTTTAATTAAATAATTAAACTTTATATAAAAATAAAATAATAAAATACCTAAATGAATTTAATGAAGTATTGGATACATCGGAAAAACTTGGATTAGATTTAGAATGTAATAATAAAATATCACCTACAAATTACAAATTACGAATTACAAGAAATAAAAATTAATATTTACTTGATGATTGATCTGTATTAACAGAAGGTGAATTTCTAAACCATGCTATCGACTAAAATAGAAATTATTGAAATATTATTGAAAATAAAAAAAGGTTCACCTGTCCATTTGGTTTTGCTAAAATAGTAAGACATTCTGGTCCTGTTTCCCATGTTCTTTGTTCTTTCCAAACAAAAACATATGGTGGTTGGGGAGTTATATGTTTACTAGAATTTGCACACCAAATCTTAATTAAAGAAAAAAGAAATATTTCTATTTATGATAATAAAATCTTTTTCTTACTGTAATTGTTTGTCCCGGTTGAATAATTGTATTAAATGGAAATCGAAAACGATGAAGAGGTTTTGATGCTGTATTTTGTTGTAAAAAATGTCCGCTCAAATCATATTGATCAGAATTTGATATATTTAATAAACGAAGATAATCACCATTTTTTGGTTCAATTTCATGAATACGAATATTTGTTAAGATTCTAAATGATATTATTGTTGTTTAAATAAATGAAAAAGAAAAATATTTTTACTTTCCAACAACTGGTGAAATTTCCATTTGATTATGTTTTAATAGATCAGAAGATGAAGGAAATATTGGTACTGAGATTTCATCAAATATTTCACTTTCTAAATAAAAAGAATTTTTATTAAAAAACAAAATTTGTTTTTATATAAAAATGAAAATGACTTGGTTCTCTTGATAATCGTTGATTAAGAATATTTTTATCGAGACTAAAACTAACTGATTTTGATAATTTTAATCTTGATGATGGATTCATTTTTTTTGAATATGAACTATTTTCACTTATTAATGATGAAGAATTTAATGATGAATCGTTATTTTCATGATTTATTGGAGAATGTTTTTCATCATGAAATAATTTCGATTGATTTGGTTTCTCATCATAATTATCTAATTTTCTTTAACAAAAGAAATAAATATAAAAATAAATAAAATTAAAAAAATAAAAGAAACAAACTTGTTATCTTGTTGATCATTTGTTATTTCATTTAAAACATTTTTAATATTTGATAATTCATCAACAATATTTTCATGTGTCGTTGATACAATTGTCATTAATTCTTGTAATTTATCATGAATTGATTGAACTGATGTTAATTTTTCTTCAAGATTATTAATAAATGAAACTAAACGTTTTATTGTATTTTCATTAACCATTATTTTCTAATAAAAATATATCTATTCAGAAAGAGAAAGAAATGGATTTGATTTCCGTTGTTATACAAAAAAAAAATCCGTATTTGTTTATTGAAAAATAAATAATATGTATTTTAAAAGATTTTTTTTTTCGATCGACTTATTTGAAAAGAGTAAATGTGTGAAGAAAGCAACTGTAAACTATAACAATGGTAACAAACGGTAACTAACTTGAGAAAAAAAAGAAGAAATGTTAAAAGAAGGAGAAAAATGAATGTTGATTTTCGATCATACCAAATCGAAATAGTAAAAGAATTTTTATGCATTAGTCAAGTTTAAGTAAATGTTTAGTTATTTTCAAAAAGAATATTATTTATTTACCTTTTTTTTATTTATATAAAATATTTTTATTAAATTTACTAGAAACGAAATTTATTAATCAAAGATTTATATACAAATTTGTTAATTTATCACAAAGATCTATTTTATTAGAGTAAATATTTATATTCCATGTCCCTTGAATTTAGCTTGGGTTATAGACTCTTTATGACTGTTCTTCGCCTTACAATGTTCTCTCAATTTCAAGGTATATTAAATACATTTATAAAGGATATTCAGATAATTTATCAATCAAAGGAGATCACTGGTCTAGTTGACGAGGATTCTATAAAAGATATATAAAGAGGATCAAAAAATATTTCACAATTAACTTTTTTATATTCAATTGTCTTTAGAAGTAATCAATACAGATAAATATTAGTAACATTTTTCTTTGCATTTCAATGATAAAAACTCAATATAATTCAATATTTATATTCTCGCCGATAGAAAAGTTTCTTCTACGAACAAATGTTTATCACATGTCACAATCTAGAATTACTAATAATAGAACATCTATGTGACGTACAAATTCATCATTAATTAACCACCTTATCATCATATCATTTTACTTTTGGGAGATGAATTATAGTTTGAAACAACTAATAGAATCGAGTGTATGAAGAGAAAAAATTAAAATATTGAATGAATGTACTTTATGTATAGCTCCAAAAACGAGTAGGAAACACACATGTTCACTCATTGATCCCTCTTCTTTTTTATTCAGCAAAACAAAACTATTTTGAGAATTGAGATTATCGCATCTGTATTAAACTCTCCTCCCTATAATAGAAGCCCCTCCCATATTAGAAGCTCGCTCTGAGATGAACAATGTGTTTGACGTATCAGAAGCCCCCTAATTTATTCAAAAAAACTTAAAAATTTTTGAGATTTTTTCGAATTTTCCTACTAAAACTGGTAAAATATCTTGATTTTAAGGTGAAGTTTCAACTAACTCCTATCTGACCGCACTTAAATCTGGAAAAACTGCCCAAAAAACTCATGAAAACCTTGAAAATCTCTAGAAATCTTCTGAATCGATTTCCTTATCATGGTCTATGAAAATGTTTTGGGACTTAATATAAGCCCCCTCCTGAAATTATAAACGGTGGGCAAATTAGAAGCCCAGGGGGGGGGCTTCTAATATATGGGGGGTTTAGTATTAAATGAAAATAAATTAATATTTATATTGAGAAATATCAATCGAATTTTAATTGATATTAATACTAAAGCGGAAGAATGTAAATCGATTAACTGATCGAAAAAAGATATTTGAATATTTCCATAACTTATCGTAAAATAATAAAATTGAAAAAGAAGATTTTTAGTGATTCCAATTGTATAATATTTGTGATAAACTAGTCAATATTGTTTTTCTCTTAATATAAATATAAAATATATTTAACATTTAAACACAAATAATTATTTTCTAATTGAAATTCATTTTTCTTATGCTTATACAAAGCAACAAAAAAATAGAGAGAAGAAAAAAAGAGATAAGACAAAAAGCAGATGTTGAATAGAAAGAAAAGGTTGATATATGTATAAGTTAAAATAGTAAAAATAAAAGTTAATGTTAATGAAAATGTTTTATATTTTAAACCCCGAAGACAAAAGATTATATTCTAATTGAACTTCATTAGCAATTGTTGCAAATAAAACAAGTTGATCATTATAATAAAGTCTATCAACTTCAAGACAAACACCATTTCGTCTTCCTTGTCTTTTACAATTTCTAAATGTAATTTCTTCATCATTAATAAATGTACCTGGTGCATGAGAAGTTTTTCTTTGTTGAGTCATAATAAGTTTTTCTAACATTGTTCGTAAATGATTTGCTGTTGTCCACCAACTAAAATTATTTTCATCAGAAATTTTTTCAATATCTTTATTATATTCAGGTAATAATTGATAACGTCGAAGTTTAACACAAAGTGAATTTAATGATGAACTTAATTGTGGATTAAGTGATGGTAATAAATGGTTTGAAGATTGTTCATTACTATTTTGTGTTGAATTTATTATTGGATCTGTTGAACTATCTTCAAGTGAAACACTTCGTCTTAATGCAAGTGGAGTTCGAAGTGTATGTTGTTTTAAACATCGACGTTCAGCTAAATAACGATAATTATCTAATAAACGTGTATGATCATCATT